AGTAGTGTCGCTGCCACATCAACTCCAAAGGCAATACAAAAATACTTGCTAGAAAGTTTCGCCTCACAGTTCACAGGCGGGACTGGAGCCGAATCTGCAGCGCAGCGCTACAAAGAAATTACACAAAATGCATTGAATACAGAATTTGAGCGCTCACAGCGATCGGCAGCTGCAGCGGGGATTGGCAGCAATAATAGTAGCATCAATAAATCATACAGCCAGATATTGAGCAACAGCAATGGCGATCTCAGCGATCACATTGCCTACTTAGAATATAAGCGGGCTGGCGAGTATTGGAAGTGAGTATCATTTGTGCATGTCATATTTTACAATTCAAATTGCAATTTTTACAATTTAATTTCTATATTTATTGCAGCACTACACCAAAAACAGATTACACATACTCCGAGCACTCGTCATTTCGCCGCGAATTAGCCCCCGGCATTGTGGCCATGCCGAACATGTCGCGCAACGGTTTAAAAAATCATAACGAACGTATCAACTATATGATCGAACGTGATCCCGCGCAAGAGGAATTCATCCGCCGGCGATATGAATCGTCGCGGTATACGCAAAACCGTAGAGCCGCTGAGAAACTAACATATGAATCGGGCGATGAAGTTGATCAACTGGATAGCTACCGCAAACGGCAATATCAGAGGTATTTGCAGGAGCAGCAAGAATCATGGTATGTGCGGATGATTACGACTATCGTAACCACAATCACCAGCGCGTGGACATCTTTAACTGGTGCTGGTAGCGGCGAAAGAAGCGGTGCTTTAGGCTATGACAATACCGCTTTGTATAGAACTAAGTATGGACAGGTGGAGCGAGGTGAGTGCTAATAGAGCGCAAGTTGAATGCTTTTGCCATTAAAAGAAGACAACTACTAAATAGAAATATACAACATATTGCACACCCTCTTCAAAGAGGCATAACTCAAAAATCAGATCCTCAAATATACATAAATAACTGCGGGTGGATCGCACAGTTTCAACGCAATTAATACAAAACAGATATAACAGTGGTTTCTTAGTTAGAGAATTTAGCTATTTATGCAAACAAATCGAGCAAAATTGTTTTGGAGTTGTGTCTCTTTTGAAGAGGGTGTAAGATATGCATATCTTATGTACGAGTATGTTTGAAATTTTTGCAATTTCTTATCTCACTATAGGTTTTTTCGGCTCTATTACACACGCCATATCATCATCCATATCTCGGTTATTTCGTTATATATATCTAATAATTTCATCTGTATTGTGTTTGGATACTTGGCTACTACAATCATCGAACGCCGATGGCAGAGGAAAAAAACGTTTTCTATTGCTTTTGTTAATCTTGTTGCCATTGTTGCTGTTGGGTGGTGAGTATTAAAACGTTATATGAATGTTGTAATATGTCAATGGACTGCGTAAAAAAAAAAAAAAAAAAACAAAAAAACATTTATGTAGGCGGGAATGAATTAGTGTATGGATAAAACGAGGCATGACACGCGTAGTCTCAGCCCCTGACATTGAATACTTATCGAAAATGTAATAAATTGTCAGACTAGTTGACCCTGAAGCGTTGTGAGCATTTGTCAATAAGCCGCTAGTGACAGTGAATTTGAAAATTGTTATTGAACTGTTGATGCTGCTAGGCTAAGTGTTTAATTCTTGCTATTTTTTTTATTGGTGTAGATATACTTGGTGTGTTGTAAACATCTATCCATGTGTATATAAACATTTAGATTTTTGTGGTTCGCCATGTCGTTGTCTATATTCACCTTGTAGGTGCGCGCGTCACGTGTGGAAAAATTCATGAACACAGGCAAACGTAGAGAGTACGATGTGAATGTACTTATTTGCTCGTTCAAATGCTGCTTTTATTTAAAGCGCATAAATTTGAATATATTACGTATATATGTATATAGCTACTGAGATATTTACTCAATATTAATTCTTAATTTGTTCTATTTGTAGTTTTTGCAAAGTATAAACTATGATTAGAGGCCTTTTTTATTGAATTCAAAAAATTTTCAATAGGTTGTAGAACTTTTTGGTATTCATTATATATGCGTATTTATTTATATCGCCATCATCAATGCTGAAGGTTTTTTTTTTGAGAATTTTTCGGAAATTCGGGTTTTTAAATATTTTGTTAACAGGCTCTCATATATCGATAGCTGAGTGGAAGATCGACCTATCTCGGCAGCCAGTTCGAAAACATTCTATCTCAAAAAACTTTTCAAGAACGCCCTATTTCAGAATTTAATTGAAAAACACTCTCTCAAAATTCGGTTCAAAAACGCCCTATCTCACGTCAAAATGTATTGAAAATATTCTGATATAGGGCGTTTTTGAATCGGCAGCTGAGATAGGGCGTTTTTGAAACGAATTCTGAAATAGGGCGTTCTTGAAAAGTTGTTTGAGATAGAATGTTTTCGAACTGGCTGCCGAGATAGGTCGATCTTCCACTCAGCCATCGATATGTAAACCCACATGCCAAAATTCAAAGCGTTAAGCAGTGATCACACGATTTGTACATTTGTACAGATTTGTATATTTGTACAGATTTGCACATTTGTACAGATTTGTACATTTTCACAGTTACAAAGAGGTGTTGTGTCGAAAGTTGTTATTGAGCTGAACTCATTCTCGATAAAAATTTCTAGACAACACCACTCTGTGACTGCCAAAGGTACAAATGTACAAATCGTGTGATCCCTGTTTTACAGTAAAAAACAAGATTTAAATAACGTCTTAAAATCCACTATGTAAATACATACTTCCTAAATTTAAAACGGGTTTCATTTGTAAAATTTCAAATTTGGCCAAAGGGGTCTTTTGCTTTGGCAGGCATCATAGTTCTGTTCGTCGAGCAAAAAATTTGTACGAATTTGTACGAACTATCATGATTCTTGTCCAAATCGGGTTCGTGCAGACCAAAAAATTATCCATCACTCAAAAACTGAGAGCGCAAAGTGGAGAGAAGTTGCAAATTCTTGCTGGAAAAATTTTAGCCAGCAAGAATTTGCAATCACGATAAACGTATGATTGTGGCACATGATTGCAGTTTTATTGACGATATTTTGAAGCTCGGATAGGAGCAGCGCCAATCTATTATTATTTTGAACAAAAAGTTCGTTAAATTTAGAAATGAACAATTTTTAATGAAAAAAGGAAAATAATACGTGTAAAACTGTACAGTTGAATGCATTGCTTGGGTATTAAGCTAGAACTAGTACTGTCGGCAAAAGGTCTAGTTCTACGCCAGTCCTGAGCTAGTCAGATTTTCTGCAGGGGAAGTACAAAGCCGCCAATCAAAATAACCTTGTTTGTGTGGTTGACCAAATTTTACAGGAGAGAGTAAAACCTGACTTATTTTAAAGTGGTTTATCTTTATTATCTCTGCCTTTTAAATCTAACTATTGATATTTTGGTATGAATGGATAAAGCTTGATGCCAGGAGTCTGATATATAGTATAGCTGCACTTACTCTATAATTTTACTGAGATTCAGTGTAGGGCCTTTAACTGTGCAACTTTTTTTAGTTAAACTTTCATAGAGCTTTTGTAACTTCCACATGTTTCCAAGCTTTCCATTATTTAACAATTGGTTTTACTTCAATCGCCTTTAAATATTTTTTGTTATTAAGTATGTTTAGTTTCCATAAATGAAGAACTTATTTTTATATAAGACACGCAATTCATTGACATATTATAACTATCTTCCTATTTAATTTAAACTTTTTTGATACTAATATCTTCCTTCGTTTCTTTTGCACCCTTTTCTTTCTCCAATAAAAAAATATGTATACATTTTTAAAATGCAATGGCGCTTTCACAGGCCTTTACTATTATCTACATCCTAAAGAATCCTTTCCGCCACGTCATTTCTCCGAAATGACCTTCACATTACCCACACTCCCAGATGTATCCGAATATTTCAATGAAGATAAATATGTTGCTCTTAAAGAACAAACTTATAATCGCTTAAATGATTTTCGCACTTGGACCGATGATTACATCATGTATTTACGTATAGTCTCAAATAATATTTTGGATGAGGGTCGAAAGTTATTTCAACGTGAAGATAATTTTGAACGTGTTTAGAGGCACTGAAATCGAGAAATATTTCTATCAGTTTTGCTTAGAGTTGCTGCAGCAATTAATATAAATAGTCGATAAAATACATAAGAAAAAAGTCGTTGATTTTCATTAAGAAAAAAGTGCTTAACCATTTTCGATTCTACACAATGTTTGTGCAAAATGCTAGTAAAAATGATAAGTTTACGTTGCAAATGTTTAGCGTTCGACAAGAACAGCTCTAATTTATTTGTACAATTAAATTTGTGTATATTTTCCATTTTCGGTATTATTTTTAGTTGTAATCATTTTATTTATTTTTTTTTTTTAACTCGACAATTACATTTTTACATTATTTTTGGTTTTTTTTTTATGTATATTTTTTCGCGCATCTTTCTATTAGTTTTTCGCAAATTTTGTTTCTTCTCGTTTAAGTCCTCAATTGATTTTTTTCGTAAAAAAATGTACAATTATTTAAGATTTAAATTTCGCGTTTCTAAGAAGTAGGTTTTTTCGTGCAAAATATAGTAATTTATATACGTACAAAAAGTCTTAACGTACAAAACCGTTGCATTTCGGACATCATCGTCAATCCCATCCTTGCGATGCGTCCCAACAAAACATCCATATTCTGTAGTTACAAAAAGACTAACCCTCTACCTTTTGCCTTTGCGCCTAAATGTATATATATATATATCGAGTGTGCCTTGCACTTCTCGTTATCGGAGGAAATCACCAAGTCCCAATGCATGCACTCGTAGGAAATAAGATGCGTGTCAAGCTGTTTGAGACCAATCGGAGAAGGATAGAGAAAACTGGAATTAATTATAGTATATCAACATCAACTTACACACACACACCTACTATACTTAGTAATTTCAATTTAACTAAGCAATATTAAAAACAAAAAGAAAATCCTAATAAGAAACTATTACATACATACTCACAAACTCCTATTTACCAATGGCTATAGAACAAAATATTAAAAATTATAGTGTAACCGCTGTTGTGCAACAACGAACTATTATCGTAATAGAAGTTGTTAAAATAATTCAAATAACCTCTTTTGATCTATTGACTTAATGTAATCTTCAAATATTTTCCGTTCACATTTGCATATCTGTTTTGTAGTATGCGCGTTTAGTTTGATGTATTTAAAATAATATGTTGTAATTTTGTTGTAAACAAAAAGATAAAAATAAATAAAGTCCTAAAACCAGAACTAAATTTACGCGTGTTTTATTATGAACTTTGTAGCGTGCCGCTTCAAATTCCCCATTTAGGTGAGTATGCCTTCTTCACTCTCCTGAGTGTGTAAAATAAATGCTATCACTAAATTGTGCTCTCTATCCTTCTTCATTTGGATCAAATTCAGTAAGTTGTTTTATTATACCTAAACCCGTTTTCTTCTTGTGCTAAATAATAGAACTTATAAAGATTTGAATACAAAGTTTGATTGAAAAGTTGGCATGTCCGCTACCCTTAATACTCCATGAATGCTTTAACTTTTGCGATTGCTGCAAAAAAAAATTATTATATTTTTGATCCTTTGAATGAAGAAGGATACGAGTGCTTTTTATTATTTATTAAATCTATATTTTATTTGTATTTTTAAATTGAATCTAAGCTATGGATTATTTTTATTGTTTCTTTGCGAAGTACAAAATTTTAAATCGTCGATTTTACCATAAAACGACTTCTGTAAAAGCTGCCTGAACGGAGAACCTTCTTTCCAGATATCCAGCTTTAATGATGAGCAGGAATACAATACTAGGAGCATATGAGTTCACTTCATCTGCCTCGGGAGACTCACAGTAGCCAAACTTCGCTCTGGATACTGCTGCAGGCTAAATTCCTACCTGAGTAGGATAAATGAAGATGTGCCCGGCATGCAGAGAGTCACCTCACTACTCTTAACACCTCTTCGCATGCCCCCTTTAACCGCACTCAACTAATGCCCCTCTCCCACTGTACCCTCTCCCGTTATTTGAGCTTGAACACAAAGATTGAGGGACAAGCCGATGTAGGCAGGGCTGAGTAGCCGTTGCAACAACAACAACATTATCTGTACATAGTCGGTTAAAGTGGTTGTTGTACGTAGTCCTTGATCTTAGCCTTGAATTCGTATTTATGACTTCTGGCGTACCTAGTAGGTGGCTGCTTCCAAAACGTGCATGTTCGGATGCTACTATTACCTAGAATTATACCATTCAGTTGCTATACGGTGTACTATATTGTGACATGTTGGTTGCTTAGGCCACAGCATTAAAATTATAAGAAATATGTGTGCCATAAANATTATACCTAAACCCGTTTTCTTCTTGTGCTAAATAATATAACTTATAAAGATTTGAATACAAAGTTTGATTGAAAAGTTGTCATGTCCGCTCCCCTTAATACTCCATGAATGCTTTAACTTTTGCGATTGCTGAAAAAAAAAATTATTATATTTTTGATCCTTTGAATGAAGAAGGATACGAGTGCTTTTTATTATTTATTAAATCTATATTTTATTTGTATTTTTAAATTGAATCTAAGCTATGGATTATTTTTATTGTTTCTTTGCGAAGTACAAAATTTTAAATCGTCGATTTTACCATAAAACGACTTCTGTAAAAGCTGCCTGAACGGAGAACCTTCTTTCCAGATATCCAGCTTTAATGATGAGCAGGAATACAATACTAGGAGCATATGAGTTCACTTCANATTTATTAAATCTATATTTTATTTGTATTTTTAAATTGAATCTAAGCTATAGATTTTTTTTGATTGTTTCTTTGCGAAGTACAAAATTTTAAATCGTCGATTTTACCATAAAACGACTTCTGTAAAAGCTGCCGGAACGGAGAACCTTCTTTCCAGACATCCAGCTTTAATGATGAGCAGGAATACAATACTAGGAGCATATGAGTTCACTTCTTCTGCCTCGGGAGACTCACAGTAGCCAAACTTCGCTCTGGATACTGCTGCAGGCTAAATTCCTACCTGAGTAGGATAAATGAAGATGTGCCCGGCATGCAGAGAGTCACCTCACTACTCTTAACACCTCTTCGCATGCCCCCTTTAACCGCACTCAACTAATGCCCCTCTCCCACTGTACCCTCTCCCGTTATTTGAGCTTGAACACAAAGATTGAGGGACAAGCCGATGTAGGCAGGGCTGAGTAGCCGTTGCAACAACAACAACATTATCTGTACATAGTCGGTTAAAGTGGTTGTTGTACGTAGTCCTTGATCTCAGCCTTGAATTCGTACTTATGACTTCTGGCGTACCTAGTAGGTGGCTGCTTCCAAAACGTGCATGTTCGGATGCTACTATTACCTAGAATTATACCATTCCGTTGCTATACGGTGTACTATATTGTGACATGTTGGTTGCTTAGGCCACAGCATTAAAATTATAAGAAATATGTGTGCCATAAATATAAAAAATACCGGCGGAAACGAACTTAACTACTATTTATATTTATTTTACGTTCCCACGATAGTCGGATAAANCACTACTCTTAACACCTCTTCGCATGCCCCCTTTAACCGCACTCAACTAATGCCCCTCTCCCACTGTACCCTCTCCCGTTATTTGAGCTTGAACACAAAGATTGAGGGACAAGCCGATGTAGGCAGGGCTGAGTAGCCGTTGCAACAACAACAACATTATCTGTACATAGTCGGTTAAAGTGGTTGTTGTACGTAGTCCTTGATCTCAGCCTTGAATTCGTACTTATGACTTCTGGCGTACCTAGTAGGTGGCTGCTTCCAAAACGTGCATGTTCGGATGCTACTATTACCTAGAATTATACCATTCCGTTGCTATACGGTGTACTATATTGTGACATGTTGGTTGCTTAGGCCACAGCATTAAAATTATAAGAAATATGTGTGCCATAAATATAAAAAATACCGGCGGAAACGAACTTAACTACTATTTATATTTATTTTACGTTCCCACGATAGTCGGATAAATCTTCAAAAACCCTCCTGGGGAATTGGTATGCCGTTACAACAGCTACAATGGTAATGTTATGAAACATTTTTTATATCCACCGTTTACATTAAAATTTTGGCCATTTAATGCCCTGTAGAAATCCGGCTTTGTAGTCGATAAAACCGCCGGTTCTACGTACCGGAATGACTAGGGGTTTTACCCGACCAAGGGTTGTTGTTTCGGCGATCTAACCCCCGTTTAGGTACATCTGCTCCGCACTCTTCTGTTCAGCGCTGGCATCGAGTCAAACCCTGGGTCAGAAATCTACACCTGAACGTGGTAGGTGTAATACCTGTAACGGGTGTAGTCAGTCACCTTCAAGTTTGCTCAGGCCTCGGGACTCATCGCCAATGGTTCACGTCATACGTGAGCAGCTCAACACAAACGTGACTGCACCATAACAACACAATAGAGCGCACCATAGGCACCATAGACCACACCATAGACATAACGGCACCACCACCCATACGCTGCCGCCAACAACTCGTGGCCCCTCCGACAATCTGCTCGGTGTGTCAGACCAGAATATTCCGTAACGTGACATCAATCAAGTGCAAAATCTGCCTCACGTACATAGGTTGGCATAAGTTCCGCAGGGTTGTCATTGTCGCTGCAGTCCGCTTCATCCCAGCCGGATGTATTTCGTACCCCCGTCCGAATTTTCCTAGCCGATGAGCGTGACAACCTACAGGCCGATCCCGAAAATCCCCTCATCAGGGATCTCAATACGGAGATTCGGCAAACTGTGAATGAACATAAGCGGAAGAAGTGGGAAGAGTACCTGAAGACTTGCAACTTCACCTCTGTTGTGAGCAAGCTATGGTCAACCGTGAAGTCATTGTCCAACCAGACGAAGAGTGAGACAGAGTCGAAATCTCTTTCGGCGAACACACTTCCTGGGACCCGGAGCGATGCGCTAAGACCACCAAAGCCATGGGATACGACGGTATATGCATGCAGGCTGGTCTATGGCTATCCTCATTCCAGACATATGGAAAGTGGGGAGGGTGGTCCCACTGCTCAAACCGGGGAAATCGGCCAACAAGGGAGAATCTTATCGTCCGATAACCCTCCATTCCCCGGTAGCGAATACACTTGACGCCTTGCTTCTCCCGCACTACACGAACCACCTGACCTCAGCTAGGCATTAGCATGGGTTCCGTAAAGTGCACAGGGCAACAACAGCACTTAACGCCATAAACACCCAGATAACTCGTAGCAATTGTCAACAAAGTTCAGAGCCGCAACAAGGTCCTCAAGTCGCTAGTCTGCAGCACCTGGGGCAAAGACGAAGAAATGTTGCTGGCAACATACACTTCAATTGGCGACTTTGTGGTCCGCGGGGACTAGTAGGATGCAGTGGACGAAGCTTCAGACCTGCCAAACACAACACTCCGGACAGCTACCGGATGCCTTCTGATGTCGCTGCAAGACTAGCTACACAGTGAGGCTCAAATGCTCCCCGTCAGGGAGCATAACACAATGATCTGCAAGCAGTTCCTATTAGGGTGTCACCGACGTCGGCACCCGAACAGACACCTTCTTGTGGCGGAGCTCTCGCCAAGGCACGTCAGAAGACACCTATATAAACCTACGGACGAAGTCCAGAGGTTCATAAAGCAACCTCTGGACCTGACAGCATATCCAAAGGCCATAGACCTACACTGACTCTCGATTTGTGAATGCCATTTTGGGAACAAAACCACTGGACGTGGACGAGACAGAGCTTCGTCTGCCTCAGCAGACTAGAACGACAATAGCACAACTTCGCTCTGGCTACTGCAGCAGGTTAAACTCTACCTGAGCAGAGCGGCATGCGGAGAGACACCCCACGACTCGGGACATCTTCTCGCATGCCAGCAAAACACCGCGCAGCTAACGCCTCTGTCCTTATGGACAAACCCTGTGGAAGCTGCACAATTCCTGGGCCTCCCGTTAGTGAAGCTTAATGACAACGACTGAGAGACTAGCTGATCTAGGCGGGTTCGAGTAAGCGCTACAACAACAACAACAAGTGCCATTAAGTAAAGGAACCACTTCGCTCAATGAGGAATGATGACACTAAGTTGTAATTGATAAGTTGGAGACGTGGTGACGTAGTCTTCTCCCGCGGGGCGGGATTTGGTTGAGTGCTGATTGATAAGACATTACGCCATACGACGAATAGGCTATGTGAGGGACCAAGAGCTCCAAAGGGAATTATTAGTTTTGTTGCTCCGCTGAGCTCCGTGGAGCTAAGAAGCAGACCTTTAGGTGGCTTCATCTGTTCCATATGTTGAAGTGGAGTTCGTATGCAGCCTTTTCCGGCATATACATCAGAAGTAGGTTTCTGCCCTGGGGTGACCTGCATGCTAGCCGGAATGAGAAAGGTGCTGCCACTCCAAAGAGAGATCCAATTGGATTTCCTTTTTACATGGTTGGGCAGACCTTGGGTATGATTTCAGAACCCCTTGCATGTTTTTTTTATTTAACTGAGCATGAGTTTCTGATTCTATCGACATCGGAGTAGGCCACTTCTGAAGAATTAATTTCTTGATGACTTGTTTAATTATTTAGGCGCCCTGACTTTACCGACTGCCGAGATACATATGTATATCTGTAGTAGTGGATTTTAAAATTAGGGCTATATTCATTAAAATACTTAAAATAAAAAAGCTAGTTTAATATGCATTTAGTAACTTTTCATATCAATCTCCGCATTATGGCTTAAGAAAATGTTGGTTAAATTTCAGCTTGGTGGTTGCTTGGCCAGGATGACCGCGCATACTTCCTTCAACGCACTCAGTCATTAGTGCCGCTTTCATTACTCGCTGGTTGGCAGAGTGCGCTTTATGCCACGGGCAGCTCGCTGAAAGGCTACTTCCTGCAATTACCCGATAACGTGAAAACGTCATTCAATCAGTACTACACAAGCTACTTAGGTGCAGCAGGGAGTGGCGGAGGCGATGCACACCTGCATATCCACAACATCGAACAACGGCTGCAAAAGGCGCTTACTGCTGAGGAGTATGAGAATATATTAAACCATGTTAACAGTTATGTGCAACAGCTGATCGATTTGAAGTTGACGAAGCAGCAGAGCGAACAGTCGGCACGCGCAGAGCAGTTGAGCCCAGCGCAAATACAGTTGATTGTCCAGCTGATGCGGGAGAATTTGCAGCGAATAGCATTGGAAAAGCAGCAGGGAAAAACTGCTGTAAATCTGGGTGAGTTGAGTGAGGACGATGTACTGCGGTTAGCTGACCTGGTGAGTGCAAAGCTGGCGCAGCGGCCGGTTCCACTGTCTAGTGAAAACTTGTCGGAAATAAAACGCCTAATTACTGAGCATTTGGAACTGCACGAGCACAAGTATTATACGCTGCTGGTGGAGCGTATTGATTTGGATGCGTTGTTGTTGCGTATCTTAAGTGCGCCGCAGCTGGCTAAGTACGTGGATGCTCGTATCGCTGCGGCATTCGAGAGCAAACATTGGCAGGCTGTAGGGACAGAGAAGCTGCGCGAAGGATCGGGTTACAGTGAGCACTACACGGTGCAGCAGCGACTCATCGATGAACTCAACAACGAAATCGCTTTCATAAAGCTGGCGCTCTCCGACAAGTTGTCCGAGAATGAAGGGCTGCATCAGTCGATAAGTAAATTGAAAGTGACGCAGGATGATTTGCTGAAGCGCATGCAGGAACATGAGCTCGCTACAGATAAGCGATTTAGTGGTTTGCTAGCTGAGATTGAAATCAAGCTGGCTGCGCTCAAGGATGATCACTTCAGGTTGCTCAATCAGCAGATCAAGCTGTCGCTGGTGGAGATACTCGGCTTCAAAGAGAGAACACCAGCAGGTGCCAATTTGGAGGATATCGACTTGCAAAATTGGGTGCGTAACATGTTTGTGGCTAAAGATTATCTCGAGGAGCGGCTGATGGCGATCAATAAGGGCACCGACAACAAGATACGTGAAGAAATCGATCGTTCCGGCATGCTGCTGATGCGCGATATTAGCGAGCGTTTAAAGCGTGAAATACTGATTGCGGTCGAGGCGAAACATAATGAGAGTGCAACAGCGTTGAAGGGTCAAATCAATACGGCTTTGTCCGAAGAGGAGGTGCAAAAGATTGTCAAATCGGTGCTGGCCATCTACGATGCCGACAAGACTGGATTGGTGGATTTTGCCCTGGAGTCTGCGGGCGGACAAATACTTTCGACGCGGTGTACTGAAAGCTTTCAGCCCAAGTCAGCGCAGATATCCATATTCGGCATACCGCTGTGGTATCCAACCAATACGCCACGCATAGCCATCTCGCCGCAGGTACAACCCGGTGAATGCTGGGCATTCCAAGGCTTTCCGGGATTTCTGGGTGAGTTGGAAGGTGGTAAACGCTTTGTTAATCGCTTTTAACGTTCACATGTTTTTGTATTTGCAGTTTTGAAGCTCAATTCAATGGTATATGTGACTGGATTCACTTTAGAACACATACCGCGTTCGCTTTCGCCAAACGGACGCATTGATTCTGCGCCTAGAAATTTTACAGTTTGGGTGAGTTTTTAAAAAGTTAGCTATCGAAGTTGGTGAGTAAAATGCCAAGGGAAAACGAATAGGAAATGGAATATATGTAAAAACTAGGCTGAGGACCTTCTAACTTAGTCTTCAAACGTGTAATGAAAAAAAATAACAGCCTTAGGTGCACTATTGACGTCAGTCTACCGGTTACCGATGATTACTTTTCAATTCTATTATGATCTAATACATACATTCTTCTCTTTTTTCCATCCAAGGGTCTCGAACATGAAAAGGACTACGAGCCAGTGCTCTTCGGTGAGTATGAATACGTTGATAATGACGCCTCTTTGCAATACTTTCCAGTGAAAAACAAAGATATCAAACGGCCATATGAAATTGTGGAGCTGCGCATCGAGTCAAATCACGGACATGCGCAGTACACTTGCCTATATCGTTTCCGTGTGCATGGCAAGCCACCGGCGGCGTAATTCAACAGGCCACAAACAACACAAAGTGTTTATTTAGCTTTCTAATATGCATAAGTTTACAGTAATAAATAGTATACCGTCAAACTAATAATAATAAGAACTATGTACATACATACCTACAATTGCAAACTACTAAGTGTAAACTTTGTGCCTTAAAAGTATTCAGAAAAAACTAAATGAAAGAGCACAGTTGCAGAGTTTGGAATTGCAGGCCTTAGCTAACCTCAAACACCTACTAACATAAGTTACTAACAATTAACTGAATTTAGATGTAAAAAAAATTTGTAAATAAAATGAATTGCTGCCACAGTGAAGAATATAAAATATAGTATAGTAAGTAATATGTGTAGATAAGCGAAATGGTTTCCTACGTTACTTCATAACTTGAATTTATGTATACACAAAAAGAGGCAAAGTAGTTTAAGAGTTTTTTAAATACTTATTATATTTCGTTATTTAGCTGTAGTTTTAAGTTACACTATTAATTAATATCATTTAATACACTGAAGTGCATGTACATATTTATATATTTAAAAATTTAGACATAAGACATTTTTAAGAGTCAATACCGCCATACAAACCGCAAACAAAACTAAATATTTACATATCCAAAACTTGTTAAAAACTTGTGTACATTAATTAGCACTAAGCTTGCCAATGATTACTAATTAAATTTACTTAAATATATGTTAGTACTTACGTACCAAAGGGCGTTGAAATTGTGTGCTAAAATCAGTTATTTGCGTCAGTCCTTATTTAGAACTTGAATGGTATTAACTTGGCTTTCAGGGGTTCTTTTCTACACACCTAAACATCGAACGTGTTAACAATAAATAAAAACGTTTATACATATATTTATATATTTATACAATATTCAGTAAGATATGTAAATACCAATTTTTATGTAATTGGTTATCTTCTAGCTACTATTATAGTTTGTCTTATAAATTATGCTGAGTTTCGAGCAGGTATTGGAATTACGAAAATTAACTGCAAATCAAACCTAAAATGGTGTATGTATTTAAATTTCAGAATTTTATAATTAGTTCATGTAAAAAATAAAATACGTTGCGAATAGAAAATTAGTGCCGTAATATTTTCCTAATAAATAAGAAATGAAATGAATAATGTAAAAAATTCCGTTGCGAAAGCGATGGGCACTCATTCAATATACCTGAAAAAGAACATAACCTTGGTCATTGGTCGTCGCTTTTTACCTACTCTAAACCTAATGTAGCAGTCTAATGGCTCGCCCAGTGATTTTTTTGTTGCAATAAGCAGGCTTTTGGGAAAACTCGCCTAGGGCAATATGAAAAACTCCATGACATGGATTTTCTGGACCAAACTCTTCTTATATCTCAATACTTTACAAGAATCGCTGATTTTTGTATTTAACAAGAAACACTTCTGCTACAACCTGTGGCAACTTGTTTAAAGAAGCAAGTTCAATTTGATTTAAGCGATTTAGGTAATTGAAATATGTATCCCAATATGAGTACCAGACGAAAGAGATTCGGCTTGTTACCATTCAGCCGGTGAGAGAAGTGTTTAACCAATAATTCAAGCGCGCTTTGGACTTCGATCACAATGTCGCCGTGTTTGCTCTTAGCGGTATTCGGTCTGGTCTTAAAACTTCCTCTTAAGTCGCCCGACCTACGCCCAACAGGCGGTCTTCAAATCATAGTCCGTTGAACGTCTCTCGTGGTCGTCATCAAAACAAAGCGTTCTCCTAAGAAGCTTTATTTTTATTTTAATTGAAAGCTTGTTTTAAATGGCGAGTGTCACGCCTATCGAGCAGTACTTGTTAACCAAGCTTAGTTAGGCTTTAAATGCAAAAGAAGAGTACTTAGGGTGCACTGAAAAACTTTTGTTCAGTATAGCTGCAATCATTTTATTATTCCAAAATATGCGTAAAGAAGGGGAAGTCCGAAGATTCAAACACAATATTTATACATCTTCTCCCGTTATCATCAGAATAACTTCACTTCTAATAAGCTTCTAGTGCATGCCTCTGATTTGAACTAATTTTAACAACTTGAAAGTTCATCTAATAAACATTTTTTATGATTCTTAAAAATACATTTATCCTTAGCATCTTGCTCTCAAGTCAAAAAGGTCTCAAAAATATTTTAATATGTTTTTAATCTAAATTGCATATCAAACAAATATTACAAAAAAGCAAATAACTTACTTTATATTTTGAAAGTAAGCAAGCTACAATTTTTGTATAAAGATTAATGGCCTTATTCATAAAAAATAAAATAAACAGCTTTATAAAAGAGACATTTTCATAAAAATTTTCGATTCGTAAAGCAGTTAAAGTCTTTATTTTTTATGAATTTGGCTGTAAATTTTTAAATGTTGTGTGTAAATTTATATTTATTTTTCTCTACATAACTTTTATGGGTACAAGAGGTATTTCTTTATTTTAGAAATTTGAATAACGGTAAAAGTTAACAATTAACAATTTAAAATGAATATTAGTTTAAAAAATAATTAGATAAAATTTAATTGAACTTAAATATGTGTGTGTACAATTAGTTTAAAATATGATTAGTGTTTTCAATATGTTACTTAAAAACGTTGCAAGTAAATAAATAAAATAAAAACATAAAATCTGTAGTTTTCAACTGTTTATGTAAATACAAAGAAACAATTGCAAGTAAGTGATTGTCCATGATTTGGAAATCCATATCGTTCCCCTTATCCCAGAAGTATGAATCACACTATATACGGTAATAAACCTTTTCGCAGTTTTCACCAATTGGTCCCCGGGGAGTACTTTTGGGTTGTGTGCAGCGTTTTCGTTTTGCGAGTACGGCAACACTAACTGAGGGGAATTTCGCCTCATGATTAGAAAAAGTTCTTTTCGAGGATAAAATATATGTAATTATGTGTTATTTATGAACAAAATGTAAGATAACTAAAATATCAATGCTTATTTAGGAATAATATTAATAGTTATGTACATAATTAAGGCTTCTGTTTCTATAAAATGGAAAATTCAAATCGTAATTATAGCACTGAATGAAGTTTTCTTAAATGTAAGTTCAAAATTAAAAAAAATATCCGGTGTAAGATTACATTTTTATGAAAAACATGAATATCGTGTTATTTTGTGAATTTATGAAGTAAACTTCTAAATTTCAGAATATATTTAAGTTTTTATTAAAAAAAAACAAGGTTTGTATACTTATAGAGACTCCAATGCCTGCCAGTGCATCCGCTCAGACAGTTCATTAAGCACACCCAAGTTTGAGCGACCATTACACGGAGCTCCTCAAAAATACTTAACATCAAAATATAGAATGTCACACACATCCATCAGTAATTGCTATGAATTGCTACCGTATAAATTCAGGACATGCATTTGCTTGGAGACTCCGTTAGTTATGGTGGTCATACGTGCTCATGGTTGCTTCAACATGATGGGTCGATTTTAGTGAACCTCACATGTCACTGCCTCTGGCTACAAACTGGATATCTGAANTTGCTTCAACATGATGGGTCGATTTTAGTGAACCTCACATGTCACTGCCTACAAACTGGATATCTGATTTTTTGAAAATAAATAGCAATTATCTATTACAATTATAAGAAAAGTGTTGTTGCTCCCTTTCATACCACAGTAATTTTGTATACAACTCTGGATCAGCAAAATTCATGGTCCTCTTTATCAGCCCTAATCAGATTTTACCCCCGAGGAGTACTCAGAAAGGTTTATTACTGTATATACTGTGGTATAGATGTGCAAATTTACCAATTTTTAGTTATTGGGTTGACCTGATTAACGTTTAGAAGTTCTATGTTATAACCAGGGTCGAAAGTTTTAAGCTTTTGCTTGGAATTGCTTATTTTGCTTATTTAGGGTTTCCAAGCTTAATTTTAACGACCATGCTTATGTTGCTTATTTCAATGTATAAAGCTACATAAGTACGGACCTCTTAAGTAAACTGTCAAGAAATAAATTGCTATTATTTCGTCTGTGTGAATAGTGAAGATGTGAAGGCTTTGGGGCTTTCGAGAGAACTATTCTACGCAAGATCTACTGCTCTGTTTTCGTGGACGAAGGGTATTGGAGAAGATGAAATGACGAAGCGAACGTATGAGCTTTTTAACGACATGGACATAGTGAAGCGCATAAAAATACAGCGATTGTGCTGGCTTGAACATGTTGTACGTATGGAAGACGACGCTCCACGGAGAAGCAATTGGAGAAGCTTTTTGGTCTCGGCCCAAACCGATAAACGAAGAATAGTAGTGTCTAAGGAGTTTTGACATCTGATATCTTACAGCATGCTGTCTCACTTTGTCCTTACGAACTAATGGATTGGGAGTATATCTCTGTTGAAAACAAGGCCTTGTTGTTGTTGTTGGCTAGTGTTGGAATTTGCTTTCCCTCTTCCTCCTTGAGTGAAGAATAGCTGAAATTTCGCATTTGTGTAGCGAAAGCGAAAACAAAATACATGTTAGTTTTTGTTTTTGTACTACCTCTACCACCTTATATAAATTCGCCTTGGTATGTACCAGACAACAGCATGAGTATACTCACTTCCATGATAAAAACATTACAAGGTAAATCATTCTCTCAATTCGTCGGCCATGATTTTGTTCTGACGTTTGCCAACATTTTAAAATCATATAAAATTGAAAATAAAAAAATTAAATTGTTCACAATTGTTGTTTGAGATTGAAAATGATGAAAATGAGAATGTGTGTGTGAGTTTGAGTTTTGATTTTAAAATTATATTGTTGGCAAACGTCAGACTGCCNCAGACAACAGCATGAGTTTACTCACTTCCATCTAAACAGTATGAACTCATTGCTGTGAACTCTATAAGGTTAGTGAGAAACACCGTACAAACAGTGAGATTCATAATTAGTTTTGCAATCAATCTTTAGCTGCAGTGTACTCATTTGATTTCAAATATGGCATCTTTCCAAATCAAGTCAAGCGAGTGAAAAATGNCAGTGAGATTCATAGTTAGTTTTGAAATCAATGTTTAGCTGCAGTGTACTCATTTGATTTCAAATATGGCATTGATATACTCTTTCCAAATCAAGTCAAGCGAGTGAAAAATGCTGTTATGAAAAGCAAGTCGAGCAATCGAATGACACCATTGACTTCAAACAATGATAAAAACATAGCAAGGTAGAACCGTTCTCTCAATTTGTCGGCCATGATTTTTTTTTGAAGTTTGCCAACATTTTAAAATCATATAAAAGTGAAAATAAAAAATTGAAATTGTTTGAAATTGTTGTTGCTTGAGATTGAAAATGAAAATGTTTGTGTGAGTTTGTGANTATTGATGAAGTATTTTTTTAAATATATTAGTTTTACTAAATTATTTAGTTATGCACCTGACGTACATTTATATAATTAGTCTACAAAAGAAATGCAATGTTACCTCAGCAGACATCGGCTTTATAAGGGACTTGAAAAATAAGTTGCTTTATTATTTAAAAACAGTTGCTGTTGAAAACTAACAGATTTGCACAATATTGTGCTTTTTTTATACCCGCCAGCAAAAGAGCTCAAGAACTTTACGGAATCTGAGCAAAGGTACCCAAAAGGGAAAATGTTTACCAATTATGAGAACGTTAACTGAGAATTCTGACAGTACAACGGAACCACAAATTGCGGATACACCTTTGTAACCTTCAGACAACTTTGAGCTGTTTTCAGGTCTTCTTAAACAACCTACCTTTGTGAGCAGAACTGATAAAGCTACTGCAGAGCTGCGGCGATATGAAAATATTGAGGTATATTTTCATACGGACTTCGATATAATTAATTGGTGGGAGGTACACAAATGCGAAATGCCGCTGCTGCATAAACTCAGTCGTAGAGTAATAGCCACTCCTTCAACTAGCGCATCGTCAGAAAGAGTTTTTTCTTCTGCTGGAAATGTTATTTCTGACAAAAGATGCCACCTTTTGTCAAATGATGATGCCCCTTAATCAGTTGATATTTTTGCATTGTAATATGCAGTTAGGAAACCAATAAAACTAACAAAAATTGTCTTTACAAATGTTTTTTCTTTGATACTTTCATTACAGCAGTTATGCCATGCACTTGTTTTTCAAATCAAGCACTTGTTATTTGAATCGAGCACTTGATAGTGTGAATTACTCACTCAACCGACAATGTTTTTCCCATGATAAAAATACNCATCGTCAGAAAGAGTTTTTTCTTCTGCTGGAAATGTTATTTCTGACAAAAGATGCCACCTTTT